CCGGAGCGGATTATACGCGCTATGTGAGGGACCACTGTGTGTGTGTGTGTGTGTGTGTGTGTGTGTGTGTGTGTGTGTGTGTGTGTGTGTGTGTGTGTGTGTGTGTATATATATAATATTATATTATATTGATTTATTTTATGTTGTAAGCTGCCCCGAGTATGTATAAATAAATAAATAAATAAATAAATAAATAAATAAATAAATAAATAAATAAATAAACAAACAAACAAACTAGTGTTAACTGAGGCAGTCCACAGTGAGTTTAAGGTATATTATTGCTTGGAACTCCATTTTCACTCTGATCAATAAATTGTCCAAATGTGAAAAGACATGAACTCCCGGCTTCCTGAGCTGTGCTACCAGCACCTTTGTGAATACTCTGGGAGAAGATGATGGACCTATGGATAGTGCCTTGAATTATAAGTGCCTCTTTTACAAAGCAAACCACAAATGCTTTCTGTTTTTTTAAAAAAGGTGGTGGGATGCTAAAAATCTCCTGCCTAGAGAGCTTCCAGAATATTCCAGTATCTCTCCATTTTGTAATTTGTGCTTTCTAGCAAATCAATTTATTCTCTTTAAATCCAGAATCTCCCTATAATGCCCAATCCACTTTGGAACAATGAAGAATACTGAGTCACGCCCTGAACACTTTTTCATTGATGGAACTGGTTCTATAGCTCCTATGTCCACTAAAGGTTGAGTAACTTCTAGAAGGGCATGTTGCTCTTCTGGATTGTTGGACCTCGAATACAAAATTTAATAGTACAGTGGTGCCTCGCTTAACAAGGAAATCGCTTGACGATTAGGTTTTTGCGATCACAAAAGAGTACGTTCTATAACCTAAGAGAAGCAGGAACTATACCAGGGTTCCTCTGTTGTTCTCACACACTAGAGGGTGCCAAGGCAACAACTGATTGATTTACAGAGACCTGCCTAGCAGTAAATGGAAAGACTATCCATGTGAAAGATTTCCTCCTCCACTGTAGAAGAAAGTGAAAGAATATGTTTCTGCAATGTATATACAGTGGTGCCTCGCTTAATGATGACAATCCGTTCCAGGAAAATTGCTGTTAAGCGAAAACATTTTAAAGTGGAATTAAAAAACCCATTGAAACGCATAGAAAACCGTTCAATGCGTTCCAGTGGGCTAAAAACTCACCGTCCAGCGAAGATCCTCCATATGGTGGCCATTTTTGGTGCCTATATAGTGAGGAATCTGTCCCTAAGCACAGTGGGGAGCCATTTTCAGCACCCGGCAGCCATTTTGAAAACCTGACAATGTTTTGGATCGTCGTAAAGCGAAAATCAGTTCCCAAAGCAGGGAACCGATCATCGCTAAGCGAAATTCCTCCATTTAGACCATCGTTTTGCGATTGCAAAAACATCATCATAAAACGGATTTGTCGTAATGCAGGGTAATTGTTAAGCAGGGCACGACTGTAGTAACTAGTATACAATTACAGTGGTGCCTCGCATAGCGAGGTTAATCCGTTCCGGATTAACCTTCGCTATAGCGAAACATCACTGAACGGGACAGGGAAAGCCATTGGAATGCATTAAACATCGTTTAATGCGTTCCAAAAGGCTCCATTACTCACCGTTCAGCGAGGTTTCCTATGGCCGGCAGCCATTTTCGTGCCCTCATTAAGCGAGGGGAGGGCACGAAAACGCTGCGCGCGGCCATTTTGGGGCTTCCGGCGGCCATTTTGTCCGCCAAACAGTTGATCGTCGGAGCTTCGTTTTGCGAAGATCGGTAAGCGAAACACTTACCGATCTTCGCAAAGCGAATTTCTCCCTATCTAAAGCTCGTTGAGCGATAGCATTAGTGATCAAAAAAACGGATCGCTATGCAATTTCGTCGTTATACGGTGCGCTCGTTAAGCGAGGCACCACTGTAGTTGTATATGATGTACAGTAATCAACCAGGAATGGGAGTGTGTACATGAAACAGAAAGAAAAAATATTCAGACTATAGCTTAACATTAACACACTGTAGTATCAATGCTAGAAGTCGCAGAAAAGAAAATAATGTAAATATTACCTTCTAATTCCTTTATAAGAATATTTTGAGCACTCTGCTTCAACCTGAAGAGCCAATTCTCGTGTGGGAGTCAGAACCAACATACCCGGTCCACCACGTTTTTCTCGAGGTCTGAAAGAAACTTCAGTATCAACTAGATAACAGCAATTTAAGAAATGTAGAAAACACAATGCAGCAATTGACTGAAGAAAGAACTGAATATCATCTAGGACATTTTCGATTATTCACATCATTAACTCAGGAACTAACTCTAGGCCAGCGATGGCGAAACTATGGCCTGCGTGCCACTGCAGGCACGTGAACCATAAGTTGCTGGATCACTACTCCCCCTCCCCCACAGCCAAACCTGAGAAAGCGGCTGCAACCGTGGTGCTGGTGCCCTGGTAGGCAGAGGGCCAGGATCTGGAACAGCTGGTGCTGGCAGCAGATCTGGAGTGGGGTCTCAAGGCACCTCCGTGCCTGAGATTCCCCCTTCCACTGCCATCACTTCCACTCACTGATTGTTGTTGTTTTGTTTTCAGTTTTTGCACTCGGGCCCAAAAAGGTTTGCCATCACTGCTCAAGGCTGTAAATTGTACAGAAGAAAGCCCCAGCTCAACCACCATTTAGAAAACTACTCTGTAACATTTTATCCCTTTGCCAATGTGGAAACCAAATAACATATTTTCTTTTTAAACCAACATGGGCACATTCTAACAGACAGAGGCTTTGGGGTCAGTATGACAGAATAGACTAGCCTGTTTGGCAGGCTGCCATGTGAAAAGGGAAAGGTGGACATAAAATTATTTTGTAGACTGGATGCAACCTACAAGGTGTTAACTGGCTATCTCTGTCCTAGACAAATGCACAAGGGACATGCATTGGGTCTCAATATCAAAGCAATCATGGAAATACAAACAGAATGTGGCAATAGTGGAAATATAATCAGAAATTTAAATACAGGATCCAAAGGTTTAACGATATTGGCAAAAACAAACACCAAAACCATATGGAATGTTCAAGATCCCCAAGATCACACAAAGCTGTAATCTGCTTCCTAGTGCTGACAAACGCCTATTCAACAACCTATACTATAACTAAGAAGAAAGTGACCTTTGAGGACTGGAAGTTTTGCCATGTGGATGTGTGCATGTTAGTAATGATCATGCCAATTTGATTATAATAAATTTAATATTAAACAGGTATTGTTGCATATATGATTACTACTGAAAACAATATATCTCCAGACTCACTTCATAATGAATAGAAAATGAATCAAAATTATTCTCAATATTAAGTATGCAATACCTAAATGTGGATTTCTTACCACCCCAACTATATTAAGTTGAATTCCATTTAGTTCTTACATTGGCTGTAAATCCAAATGAATGAATCCAGGCATCAGATAAGCCAATGTCTTTCCAGTTCCAGTCTGTGCTATTCCAATCAAATCAAATCCCTGAAGTATAATTGGCCAAGCCTGTGACTTAAAATGAACAGTAAGCATTATGATGAGGTGGAAAATTAAACAGAACAGTTTCTAAACTAACTACTCAGATAAAAAGTTAAGATACCTGAATTGGGGTAGGCTTCTGAAAGCCAACTTTCTTTATATTTGCCATAATGTCAGGATAATATTGAAAAGCATCTTCAAAGTTGCAGATAGGGTTGGGAATAGGACGCTTTTCACCATCTTTCAAGTCATCACATGTGATATTATTGTTCTCTATTCTTTAAAAAACACAGAGATGTAATACTGTCTATAGGAAAAAATTATCTAGCAATTCCAGGCAGAGTATATATTATAGACAAAAGATTATGCAAATTCTATTTTGTTATGTTTCACAACAATAATCTATGCCATAGCAGTAAGAAAAAGGAGCTAAATCATGTTATATGCATAGATATTACACAACTGTTTAGAAATGACACGTCAACACAGTCAAAATCACTGGGAAAAGATGCTATATTTAATCCTTAGTTAATAAATGGAAGTCAAATGTACAAGAGTGTTAAAAATAATGGAAATGTTACACAAGTCTGTAACAGTTGCATGTTCCCCATATTGTTTTAATGAGGCAGTTATTTTTCTACCTGCAAAAATTCAAGAAATTCGATGTTTATTCTTCCAGAGCACCTGAAAAACTGGTGTGCTTAATCTAACAGGGATTTTTTGGGGAGAGGGGCAATTTAACTCTTATGGGAGTGACTAAAAAAACAAAAATAAAATGCATACATTGTTATACATTATAGATCAAAGTGAATTTTAAAATACTATTTAATTTTAAATTATTTTTAATAAATACTTAAAACACCGAAACACTGTCCTCTGTTATAACATTGTGCACCTCAATACTCCCCCAAAGGTAGACACAAGAGAAAGAATGCATACAAATTCACAACATGGCATATATGACCAGCCTTGTGTAAAGCATGCAGGGTTTAACCTGGTTTTATGGTACACATTCCAACACAATTTATTATTTTACCGACTATTTGGTATCTATACATAATAAATCAGGAATTCTTTCCCCATTTGAATGCTGCCTGCTCAAGAATCAAGCAACCAAGCAAACAAACAGACCAAAAACAAACAAAAACACAACCCTTTAACTTTTTAATATACTAATATAGTCTACAAGTTTATAGATCCAAATTCTTACCTCCACCTAGCTGCTTCTTCTTCAGACATAGAAGCAATTATTGGTGATTCTTTATAGAAACATTTTTCAATTGGAGGTAGTCCTGATCAAGTTAAAGGAAAATTTGACTGTTATAGAAGAATCAACTATCTACAGTATTTTCAAAATTACTGCACTTATTTAATGCTCTGCCAAAATATTCTCCCTTGAAAACTTTGACCATCCTTGATCAATCTGACAGAAAATCAGTCCCCGTCAGAGAAATTCATATGGGTAAGATTCAGGATTCTTGTGCTGACTTTACTTACAAAGCAGCTGAGGAGTTTGTGTGCATCTCTCCCTTTCCTTTGTACAATCACCTCTGTGGCTGAGTAGTATATGCATTTGTCTTTCTTTGTATAATCATTTATGTGGCATTCTACCTCCCCATCCTTCAGTTGAAGATAGTGGAGAATGTTTTTTCATGCTCCTTTTTAAAACTAAAAACTGTGAGCAGCCAAGGAAGTTGCAGAGTGAAAAGATACAGAAAATGCAGCATTCTTGGCAACCTCACAGTATTACAGTGAGCTCAAAAATATTACATAAAGAAATCTGAAGAAGACTTGAGAATGAGGCAAAAAACTGGTTTCTTTCACAATAAAACAAAACTTTGGGGAAACTGGAGGACAAATGATGGCACAGCATGTTTCATTTTTTTCCTTAGAGCTGGACACAGCACTACCTTATAGCTATGCAGAAAGGAGCCATATTAAAAACATACGTCAGAGAGAAGACAAACTGCTTCTATAATGATGTAATACTCTACAAAATGTAATAGTCTGAAGACTCAGGAATGGCACAGAACCCTGAAGAATGGTAACAAGTGCTGCACCAAAATTTATTTGATTATATTTTTCTGAGAAATATTCTGTGTTCTTTTCTTCAATAGTAATTTACGTGCTGTCAGGTCAATTCCCGCTCATGGTAATCTTCACAGGGTTTTCCAAGTACAGTATATATTCCTCAGAGTGGTTACCAGTCCCTCCATCTGGTGGTGCTCTGGGACTATGCAGCTTGTCCAAAGCCACACATCCTGTTATGTGTTGTCAAGTTGTCTACAACCAATGGTGAGCCTATCAATGAGCAACTTCCAAAACGTGCTGTCCTTGTTCGGAATTCCAAAATTCAAGCCTGTGATTCCTTTAGGGAGTCAATTCATCTTGTTTGGTCTTCCTTGTTTCCTGCTGCCTTTACCTATCCCTCCATTACCCCGCCCCTCTAGACCATTATTGTTTTTTCTGGAGAATTCTGTCTACTCATGATGTGCACAAAGCAGGACAGCCTCACTTTTCAACTTTTTTGCCTCAGGCTTAATTTGGTCTAGAACTCACTTGTTTGCATTTCTGGGAGTCCAGGGTATCTCTAGAGCTCTCCTCCAGCACATTTCAAATAAATCAATTTTCCTGTCCACTTTGTTTACTGTCTAACTTTCACATTCATACATAGTGATCAGAAATACAAAAGTGTAGACTGTTGTGGTCTTGGTCTTCATCCTTACACTTGACAATCTTTTCTAGTTTATTCATTGATGCCCTTCCGTCTCAGTCTTCTGATATCTTGGCTGCATTCTCCATTTGGATGCTTGAACTAAGGTATACAAAATCCCTAACTATTTCAATTTCTTCATTGTCAATATTAGTATTGTATTCATGATTTTTGTATTCATGATTTTTGTCTTCTTAATGCTCAACTGCAATTCTGCTTTAGTGCTTTCTTCTTTCACGAAGTCATTTCAAGTCATTGCTGCTTTCTGTCAGTAAGATGATGTCATCTGAATATCTTAAATTGTTGATCTTCCACCATTTTCATGCCTCCTTCACCTGAATCTAGTGTGGCTACCCAGTAAGATATATTTTGCATACAGATTGAATACAAAGGGCATAAAATGCACCCCTGACACCTTTGCCTACAGGAAAGCATTCTGCCTCTCCATATTCTCTCTTAACAAAAACTTCTTGTCATGATTCAGGTACTGAGTCACACCCATTTCTTTTGGAACATCCCATAGTTCTTCACAGTCAAGAGCTTTGCTGTACTCTGCAAAGCATAGACTGATCTTCTAAAATTATCTGGTGCGCTCCAGCAGTCAGCAGATATTTGCAATATGATCTTGAGTGCTTCTTCCTTTTTTAAATCCACCTTCAACAAGAGGCAACTCTTGCCTCATACAAAGTCAAAGCCTTTTTTGCAACACATTGAACATCACTTTGCTTGCTTGGGAAATTAAAGCAATGATACTGTATTTATTGCACTCCTCAGCACCTCCTTTCTTGGGGACTGGAATGTATATTGAACATTTCCAGTTTGTGGGCCATTGTTTTGTTTTCCATATTTGTTGGCATCAGGTTGAATAGAAATTACTTTTAAAAATCAAATTGATTTAAATCATGATTTTAAAAAGGTTTTTTTTTTAATTTAAATTGTCAAAGAAATAAAATTATTTAAATTAAAATTGACAGGGACTGAACTCGATGATCCACAGGGTACCTTCCAACTCTATAGTTCTAAGACTGTTGTTCATGTTATACAGCTTCTCCATCTCCAGTTTTCAATTACAGTGGTGCCTCGCTTAACAGTTTTAATTGGTTCCAAAAAAAATCATCGCTATGGGAAAACATCGCTAAGCGAAACGCGCTTTCCCACTGAAATGCACTAAAACCAGATAATCCGTTCTAATAGGAACGAATTGCTGTCCTTAAGCGAAAATCGCCATAGGAAACATCGCTAAGCGAAACACAGTTCCCCAATTGAAATGCACTGAAACCTATTCAATGCATCTCAATGGGGAAAAAAATTACAACAAATTTAAAAAGAGTCGGAACAAAGTCAAATCAGTTTAACAAAGGGTTTATTAAGTGCACTTATGATTTCAAGCATTCTAAACATTTTTAAACATTTTTAAACATTTAAAAAACAGCCAACATGAGGCTGTCAAAACCATTGTTAAGCGAAACAGGGGGACCCAAACTGTCATCGCTATGCGAAGCATGGTCCCAAACATCGCTATGCGAAAATCGGCCACATGGAACATCGTTAAACAGAGCGCAAGATTGCTCCAAATAAGTCATCGCTAAGCAAATTCGTCATTAAACGAAGCGCTTGTTACTTCAGCGAGGCACCACTGTATAGTTTACTTGGTCTCTATACTGACCATCTGGTGATGTTTGTATGTGTACAACCCTATATCCAGCTGCTTGAAGCATGTATTTGAAATAAATAAACAAACAAACAAACAGATTGTTGGGTTTGCAGAACTCTGCAAATTGTTCTCCTCCATTTCTGTCTCCTAGACCAAGTTTTCCAGCAACATTTGCTTCTGCTTTGCTCCCTATTGTTGTATTCGTTTCCTATGATTATAAGCATAGGTGTGTGACTAGTTTCTTCTTGTAGACTTGAATAAAAGCTTTATGTTTCATCTTCTTCAGCACTGGTAATTGGGGCATAGACCTGAATGATGGTTATGTTGGTAGGTTTTCCAGTTTGATATTATTCGATCAAATTTTGCATTATAGCTGCTAGTTCTCAGAGTATAACATTTTGTACCTGTCTGACTGAAAATATTTATTGTATTTATACCCCGCCTATCTGGTCTACTTTAGTTCACTGACACCAAGCACTGCAATGTTTATACGTTCCATTTTGTGCTTTAGTTTCCACTTTACCTTGATTCATACTTCTCACGTTCCATGTTCAATTTATACGTGTTGCAGAGTTTCACACTTTCCTTTCACTTCTGTGCACATCAGCCATTAGGTGTCTTTTTGGCTATAATCTAGTTGTGTCATCTGTGACAGAGCTATTCATACTTGCCCTTTGCTCTTCCCCAGTAGCTGACTGAGTGCTTTCCAACCTGGGAGTCTCATCTTCCAGCATTATCTCGTTTCATTTTGGACTGTCTCATCGCAAGGTTTTCATGGTAAGGAAATTTAGCAGGAATTTGCCATTGCTACCTACTGCACAGTAGTAGTTTGACTGTCACTGCTGTTGCCTGTTCAGCCAGTGTCACTTTCAGCCACCGCTGATGCCTAGTAGCTAATTAAAGAAGGTGGATGCATCTTAGTCTGGGCTGGGGCTCTTGTATTCTCTTACTCCCTCAGAAATATAAGGTATCTTGCAGGATTATTTCCAAAATTTGCCTCTTAAACGTTGGTGGATGCCTCCCCTCTGTCACTGCCACCACAAAAGCCTAGACTGGAACTAAAAATAGCACACTGTGGGAAATGCACAGTGGTCAGATTATCATCTCAGTCATTGCTATTACCACTTGTAGTAATAGAAGCACTGTAAAGCACACACCAACAATAGGAACCTATGCTACAATAATTGCTAATGCTGAGCCCTACCATCAATAAATTAAAATCTTAATAGGAAATACTTTTTCAATTTTTCGCTTGGGAGTTTTTGATACATTTTTTTCATCTAGAGTACCTGTTAGGCTTTGAAGTTAAACATGAAAAAATGAACTTCTGTACATATATAACTTCCAACGTACAATGAACTGTGGGATAATTTATCCCTTCCCTTGGAGAAATTGATAAAAATGGTCTCTCTGATTATCTTTCCACAAATAGGATGCAGAATTTTAAAAGGCCATTTGTATACAGCTATAGTTTATTTGAAACAGAAGGAGAAATCAGCAAGCAGTATGAAGGGAAACACAGTTGTACTGCTGACGTATTTCCTTTTTTTAATGAATGGAACACCAATTACATGCTAGGCTATTTTACATTTACTATTGCAAATAAACATAGCAGTGAGCAGAGGATGGACACATTTCAAACAACCTTTGCAAGGAACTATTGCAGTTTTAAAATTGTGTGAATTTTAATGTTGTGAGCTGCTCTGGGTCCCTTGTTGGAAGAAATGCGTATTATTATTATTATTATTATTATTATTATTATTATTATTATTATTATTATTATTATTATTATTATTATTATTATTAGAAGAAGAAGAAGAAGAAGAAGAAGAAGAAGAAGAAGAAGAAGAAGAAGAAGAAGAAGAAGAAGAAGAAGAAAAAAAAATAAATGGCAGGTCTTGCAAGGTTCCATTTTGTTTTGTCATAGTCCTTTACATCAGAGGAAAGCAATGCTTCATTGACCTTTTGAAACTCCTACTACAAAGCAATACACTATCAACAGAGATTTTGCACTACATCCTGTGTGGGGTTTTTTTGCTTTAAATAACGACCATAGACTATGAAGATTTGATCAGTTTAACAAAACAGATAGGCAGGTGTGCACTCTCATATACTATTCTTCAAAAAAGACGACTTGCAGAGGCAAGAACATATAATTTTAAAGCATCTAGTACACTAACCAGCCCATTTCATAGCTTCATATTTAGCTTTATTTTCTCGAAGAGAAGCCCAATTAATGGATTGTTTCAGATTACTGCATTCAGGCTTCACAACTCCAGAATGGCTTTCATTGTAACGACTGGTTCCAATTGCTTGATGTCTGAAGGGATCTGTTAAAAGAAAAATTACATTCTGGTGTAAAAAAATTTAAATGTCAGTTTACTATGTAACTAAATGATTTTGATGGGGTCTTCAGGTCAGAAGTCTAATTAGAGACCCAGAACTGTTTCATTCTATGCCTATTAAAAGACAAGAGCAATCAACATGTTTTCATTTCTGAACACATTTGAAAGGCAGTACAACAAACTGTTCCGGAAATTCCTTTCTTTACTTTTATTCCACACATTTCCTACAACTTTCCTTTCTACAAATGCTTCATTAGCAGAATAGTAATTGAATTTATACCGTTTTCCCGAAAATAAGACCTAACCAGGAAATAAAGTCTAGTATGATTTTTCAGGATACCCCAAAATAAGCCCCAGTTAAGTGAAACCCCACCCTCCACCATTGTGCAGCAACCAGAATATGACATGACTATACTGTATTTGAATAGACTATACACGAAAAAAAAACACCCCCTGAAAACAAGCCCTAATGCGTTTTTGGAGCAAAAATTAATATAAGACCCTGTCTTCTTTTTAGGGAAACACGGTAGAAGGCTGAGATAGAAGAGAGAGCTTAAATATATAAAGTGTATAAAGTTTTAGAATTCTTACCTTTAACACACTTTTCTCCTGCACAGTTTTGGCTACTTCCCTCAAGAAGGCTATCAACCAGCATTTTGGCTTTCATCTGTTTATTGCCATCACCAAATATCTTTATTTCAGCTTGATAACCTCCCCTTACAACCTAAACATAAATTTTAATTTAGCATAAGCATCAAATACTAAAATGAATCCCAGAATTCTCCTACTTAAAGCCTTCTCATGCTGGGGACTGGTCAAACAGCTGAAGAGGACAGTAGCATACTCTGATTGGTGAGTGGATCATTGGTGGTGGTGGGGGAAGGGAACACATTGCACCTGTGGTGCTGCGCATATGAACTGGCACGAACCTCTGAACCAAGGTTCATGTCCATCTCTGGTTTGTATTCATGATTTGGAACCTTGTATCCAGTGAGGTTCTTATGACACATACATCTTTTGTTATCTTCTAATGAAATCAGGATCAGAAGGTGTGATCATTTCACACACTGCTGAATGTGGACAGACTACAAAAGGATTTACACCCAAGAAATCTTTGGTCCGTATCCTACCATGTTATGCATTTGCTGAATGGCAACTGCACAAGTGTTCCTCATGTTCCAACTGGCTCCCTGCATGGCGGGTCTAACACCAGCCGTAAGACTTGTTGTGGAACTGATTCAAAGACTGGTCACATGATAGGGGTCTGCCAGAGCAGAAGAAAGCTCGTACAATTTTCCTCACATTTCAAATAGGATACTAGTGTTTCTATCTAATACACAACTGCCTTTAGAAATACTACATTCAATACACTAAGAGATTTCAAGACCTGAATACTTGAATAATCATACTTAAAAGGTTTACAAATATTTCAGTAACATTCCAACAAAGCTCTGAAATTTAAATCACATAATGCTGCGATCACATTGTGGCTGTGACAGCATACCAAGGACTACAGGAAAGACTGGATGTCTCTCTAAGGTCTGAGAGATTTAAACTTTAAAAATTATCTAGTCTTCAGTTCTCCCTTTCTTGTCTCTATAGAAGTATCTGTAGTTTTTACTCCTCTAGAAACACAGAGATGATGGGAGGGAGGGGAAGACTTGGGATATGCTGCATGCAGATGGGAGAAGCGAAAGTTTTGAAATATCTAATGCCATCATAATCTGTCTACATCCTAAGTACTGAGAAGTGTGGGGGGAAATACATAATTCCCTTCCCCTTGCTTGTAATGGGAGATACACAGCATAAATAAAAAGGATGCAAGCCTTATCAAAACCTGCTTCTTCACATCCCCTAATTGGTCTTGTATTGACAAGGCACTCAATACACTGGAAACTCTCATGAGGAAGGAAGTCCACACCTATGATTGTTGGATCTCTGTGTTTTAATCATTTGTTTTACATGTTTTTAATATTTCAGTTAAATTGCCTTTGGAGAACAGGGAAAACATTTAAGGTATTTATAATATACATCACATATTACATTAACATGGAATAACTTTACTGATATACTATTTTATCTAATTATTTTAAAATACTGTATGTTATATCTCTTGTCATTTATTAATAAAACTACAATGTAAATATTTGTTAACACAAAACACAACTGTGCATATTATGCAAATGTACATTAAAAATAAAAAGAAGTATCACAAGGAGACACTAAGGCATATAAAATATTTTCAACATATACATAAACTGCAATTCAGTACATATTTCAGGGGAAGAGAGTGGGGACCACCACAGGAAAGACCCTCTTTGTTACCACCAAATATGATGTGGCACAACCATCAGAGTTGCAAAGTGGTGTGTGGTCTGAAACCTACTGAAGTTGTAGCTTCCAGATCCCACATACGGACAGTCCAAAACACAGTGCATTATAGTAATTAACATGTGTGATTAAGATATCCCTGTGAGGAACATCTGTCAGGTGATGCACCAGACAAAACTAATAAAAAGTATATTTTGTAACTGCAACTACTTGGGCTTCAAGCAACAATGATGGGTCAATGAGTACTCCTGGGGTAGAGAATTGATTCCTCAGAAAAAATATAACATTGTCCAAAACAGGCAACTTCCTCTTCTGGGAACAACCTATCCTCAGAGCTACCATCTTACAAGCATTAGGGCAGAGCCACTGGAATGCCAAGACATGATGGGAAGGCTATGGAAAGGTGTCATCCACTCCTTTTCCCAGATTTTCCATGCTCTCACTAACTCCCAATGACTACTGCTGGAGGAGATGGTTGCCTTCTTTTCCTAACAATCCTTCAAGGCATGACAGTTCACACCCATAAGCCATATTTACTCAGCCACTCAATGCACACCAGTAATTCATTCAATGCAATTATTCTTCACTCTGCCATGCACTGCTCTTACAACATCCATTCATCTTGTATAACATACACTCTCCACACAACTATTCATTCACTGTTCATTATGCTAATATCAACATAGCTAATAATTAGGCAAATCTACCATTACTTAGATACTGCGTAAGATGGAGAAAAATGCTGGAAAAGTACATTTTACAACACTAGGCTGTAATCTCATAGCACAGTCTCACCTGCAACTCTCGGATGTGTCCAATTTTCCAACCTACTACTAGTCTTTCACTCCAGAAAAAAAATGCACATTTCATACTCCCTATCTCTCCCAAGGGTTCTGCGGAATTCTCCTAACCCTCACTCAGGAAACTTCCAATCTCATTTAAGCACAGCTTTGAAGGATTTTTGGTTATGTGTGTGAGATGAACTCTTACAGCATCCGAAAGGTCATGCTACAGTAAATAAGTATACTGTACACTTACAACCTAGAGAAGACTGCAATAGATTTTGAGCAATGGATATTTTTTCAGAAAACCTGTATCACTAATTAGCTATCTGGTGGCACAAGCCAAGTGCTTAGGATGATGCTTACCAAAGAGAAGCTATCACAATTGTAATGAAATATTGGCAGTCTTAGGAAAATCCTCACTCTTGGGATACAAATATGTTAGTAATTTTGTGTTACAAATTTAGGCAAGCATCACTAAACTTAATTAAGTACAGAAGCATAACTATATATTCCCTCCTGAAATTCTTACAGGGAAAAAATATATATGTGTCCACCAAAGAAACTTTGCTACATTCAACAGTGTTAGTGCCAGATGAGTTCACAGTCTTGCAACCTGGGAAGTGTCAAACCTGAAGAAAGAATTTGATTTTTGGAAGAAATTAATAAACTCTCACCTTTATTTTACAACCTGATGATTCTTCAAGCTCTTTTATTTTAGTTCCACCTCGACCTATTGTACAAATAATTTATATATGTAAAATCTGGCCATATTTTAATTCGAAAAAGCTTCAGACTTTGAACAATGGCAAAATGCAAACTTTTATCAAGAGAAAATAATTAAAAGTAAGTGTCTGGACTCCATGAGGAAAATGTGAAATTTTAATTAATTGTTCTTAGAATACTGATCACAATTTTTCCTTGGTTGAATGATCTCCATCCTTCACTACATCGTGAGTGTGATATGGTATTGATACTCTATCAGTGAACACTTTGTTTATGTAGCCCTGGCAAAATATATGCACAACCTTCATAAAAGCCATCACACATTTTTCTTTATGAATATGATCTCCATCTGTAATGTTGTGTCAGGCTAATTTAAATGAATTAAAAGGATCCCAGGTTTTTAAACACAACCACACATTACAGGTTTGATGCATTTGCCTTACATCTATCAGAATATTTGGACATAGAAAACACTCAGCGTTTTGAAGGAAATGCAGTACCACTACTACATGGTCAGTCTTAGTAAGAGTCTCCCACTGCTCCACTTTCTTATAATTAACCATTAACTCTTGTGGGAGGGGACCTACTGCATTCAATTTGGCACAGGTAGCTTTAGAATGTGCAACCGACAGAACAAAATTTATTCTTAATATTGATGGTTTTATGTTGCTCTTCAGGTTTAATACTCAGAACTATAACTAAAGCTCCCACTGATAACAACACTGGATTTGATATGAGTGTTATATAGCACTAGCCAATATCAGTATGACATATAAACACTATAAATACAGTATGTTGTATATGTTATAAACACTACAGCTAATTTACCCTTTTGATTGAATTCTGTTTTGATTTAAAAAAAAAAACAGTAAAGTGCACAATGCTACGAAAACCCATACTTCCACCAGTTGTATGCAGGCAGATGTATCACCAAGTGCAAACAGACCTGATTTGTTATGTCATACTCTATATATTTTATGGAGTTCAATACTTTGGAGCACTCTTGCGAGGTTGGCAATGATTATTCCTATCACAATCATGTATTCTTTCCCTCTCCCCTATATGTACCAAAAGTAATTATTCTATGGAACTGAATAATAATGATCCAAGTCATTATTTTGGGTTGGACCGCTGTAATCTGATACTACCTAACCTGGGAGGGTAAGTCTCACCAAACTCAACAGAGGTACAATATGTCTAAGTTGAAATGGATAGGACTAGACAGCAAAATCTCAGTGAGGATTCTGGTAGAAGAGTAGTAGGTGTTTAAATATAAAGCATACAATTTTAGTAATTCAAAGAATACTTTAATACTTCCCTAAATTCACTTTCATAACTGCCCTGCAAAGGTGAAAGACACTTCCGGTTGTCCAAGTCTAGGAAGTCACTGAAGGTAACTTTTATCTACATAGGGCTCCTAACCTTTGGTGATGCCTCAAGTCCTCTAGTGACAATAATTCTAAGCACTCCTGCTGAAGATGTTCTACTGAACTCAGTGGAAGTTAACTTTTTAATAACTGCACTTATCATAATTTGGCCATACCATGAAAAGCCTAGCTGGAAAAGACAATAACGTTGAGAAAAGTGGAAGGGAGCCAGAAAACAGGCTGAAGGAAGCCCAGGCCTCGAACCTGCAAGACCTGACCAAGGCTATTTAATGAAAGGACCTTCTCGAGATCATTAAGTCCTCACAAGGTCAGCCTAAGTCGAAACACAACAATCATGCTTAGGACGGCAGCGCAGCCTGCGCTATCTCGTGGCTGAGGTGGCAAGGAAACAACACAACACACACGGGGGGGGGGGAGGGGGATGGCGTCCCTGGTCTACTTCCAGGACCCACAACGGAATCTGGCGCTCGGGGGCACCGACTGCTGCTACCTATGAGAGTGCCGACAAGAGCGTTATCCAGCTGGAAGCACAAGGGCGACGACCCCGAGCTCTCCCGGTCACTTCCACGAAAGGAGCCTCGGGCTCGATACTCCAAGGGTCCCGACTGCCAGGACTCGCGGGCAGAGGTTCGCCGCGGGGGCTCCCTTTTCCTTCCACCGGCCCTTTCCTCCTCGTCTTCGCCCGCCGCTGGGTTCCCGCCAGCCCGCACGGGGAGAGTCGTGGTCGTCGGGCGCCATTGGACCAGCGCACGCTTGGTGGCGGTCCCGCTCGGTTCCTCCTCTTCGTTCTCTGCCTCCCAGTCAGACATGACGGGACCCGCCAACGGTCCTCCCAACGCCCCGCGCCTTCCAACTCCACCCTCACGAGACAAACCGTCAAGTAGCCCTCAGCTTGCCGCTCTAAACCGCCGGATTCCGGGAGCCTCTCTCTCATTGGCTACACGGACCCTCATTACAAAGAGCTGATTGGCTGGAGCTCGGTCTTTCGGACGCCGTCGGTCGGAAAAGCGCGGAGTCACCTGTCCGAATCAGGCGGGTCGGGTTTGCGGCGGGAAAGGAAAGTGGCGGGATGGGTCCTTTCTCCCGGGATACCCGCGGCTTTTGTGCAATAATATTGATGTATGTCAGGAAAGGAGAATCTGGGGATTGTAGTAAGAGACGCTAGCCTCCTGTGCAGGGTGGCGCGAAGGGAAATGGCGATCTGAACCTTCAAAATATTGAGGTTAACTCCTGACTAAGTATGCTTCGTACTGACCGCTTCTCAAAGCAGGTTTTTAATACCCAGTTCAGAAAAAGAGTAGTTGCACGCAGGGCGCGTCAAATTTTCTCACTCCTTTTGATTACATTCTGGAAAAGTTCTCTTTCGAGGCGCAAGTCCCATGTACGTCCTCAGCGGGGTGTAGTGGCTGGAGGATCAGACTGGGGTTCAGGAGACCTGGGTCTGAATCCTCGTTCGGTGGTGGAAACTCACCGGTGTGTGTGTGTGTGCATGTGGAGCATCTTAAATGGCTCACCTTGAAAACCTTTCTAGGGTCTCTAAATCGGACGTGACTTGAGAGCGCTCGACATCCACGCCCCATTTAATGAAGCGGGACTTTTAATCATATGGTTGTAACGCAAGGCAGTTTGGCGTAAGAGACCCCCTCGGTCTCTGTGAAATTTCCCGACCCTCGGTTTTATATGGTCCTTTCTCCTAATCGGTGAGGCACACGAGCAAGGGAACTGAGGGGTTCAAGGCAGCCCAGATCTCACAGGAAGCACTACATCACGCATACTTAGACTGGTATGCCCACACACCCTATATTAAAACGTCTCATGTGGTGACTTTGCGTTTTGGACAGCTTTGAGCAGTGCATCTAATGAAGAGGTCAACACCATGAAGGAGGGCGGTGGACACAACCCTGAAGGAATTCAAAAGTACAGCAGTTGAGCCCCTGAAGCAGTGCGATGGCTGACCACATGCAGGTCTATGGACAACAACATGTGCTTGTATTTATCTGGTCCTTTTCTTTCTAATAATAATTATCACATGATATATGCCACTGAAGGTGGTTATTATTATTATTAGTATTATTATTATCACATGCCACCAAGTCAAGTCCAACTTCTGGCAACCCTTTCCAAGCTTTTCTAGGTACAGAGTACTCAGACATGGTTTACGATTCCCATGTTCTGCAGGCACTTTGGAGTTTAGCCAACAGGCTGCCTCTTCCCTCTGGAAGCACAGTGGGGAATTGAACTTCTGACTGTTGGCTCTGGCTGCCAAGAGTACAGCTAGATGAGGATTTGCCCCACAGTTTGTGTCAGGCTAACGACGGGACGGTTTGCTCCTTTTCCTGGTAATCATGCCAACATGAATCAATCCTTCACTGATCCATGCCTATCTAGACCTTTTTGGGTCCCTTTCAAGGGCTACTACAGTGGTACCTCGACTTGAGAACGTCCCTACATAAGAACGATTCAAGTTAAGAACAGCTCCATTCACAAAAAGTTCCTTCAACTTGAGAACGGAGACTCGACTTAAGAACCAAAAAAGAGAAAAAACCTTTCCTGCCCTTTTTTTGACCTAAGTTCACTTTAGGTCAAAAGAAGAAGAAAAAAATAAAAAATTCACCCCCTAGTGGCAGATAAGGATTAACCAGCTTTGCATTAATCCCTATGGGAACTAATGCTTCAATTTAAGAACAGCCCTCTACTTAAGAACAAAAAGCAGCAGACATTGATTAAATGGTTTTCAGTGCATTCTTATGGGAAATGGTGCTTCAACTTAAGAACGCAGTCCCAATAGGGATTAAGTTCTTAAGTCGAGGTACTGCAAATGGTGGTGTGGTGCTTGTGCGCATGTGCAAACAGCGGCGCTTATGTGGGCACGCATGTGCTCGTGAGCATGCGCAAATGGTGGCGTGGGCATACTGGAGTGCATGTGCATGCGCCAAATCAGCTCTGTGGGGGTGAGTGCTTGTGGTGGATGGGCGGGAGGTCTGTCTCAGGCCACGGACTAGCACCGGACCGGGGGTTGGGGACCTCTGGTTTAAGCTATCTGCTTAAGCTGCTTCACAGCCTTGGAAGAGGGAGAGAGAGGAAACAAAAATTATTTTAAAAGCCTGTGTAAGGCGGTGGTGATGCACTATGCCCTAAATATACGTATGCATTTTAAAAGGAGGAGACAAGGTCAGGTATCTTTTTCTGTTTTTTATTTTATTTTTCCTCTTTCCTTTTAAAGGTAAAGGTAAAGGTTCCCCTTGACAATTTTTGTCCAGTCGTGTCCGACTCTAGGGGGCGGCGCTCATCCCGCTCTTCAAGCCATAGCGCCAGCGTTTGTCCGAAGACAATCTTTCCGTGGTCACATGGCCAGTGTGATTTAGACACGGAACGCTGTTTACCTTCCCACCGAGATGGTACCTATTTATCTACTCGCATTTGCATGCTTTCGAACCGCTAGGTTGGCGGGAGCTGGGACAAGCAACGGGCGCTCACTCCGTCACGTGGATTCGATCTTACAACTGCTTGGTCTTCTGACCCTGCAGCACAGGCTTCTGCGGTTTAGCCCACAGCGCCACCACGTCCCCTATTCCTTTTAAAGGAGAAAGGGGCAAATAGGAATGCTTAAGGCTTGATGTGGTTTTCTGACTCATAACCACGCGATTCTTGCATTTGAATGCAAGGATCACACCAAATGGCATACCATACCTCTATGTAACTTAAGGCCCTGGTCACACAAGGGAAATATTTTCTAGTTCTTCCGATACTTTCCATACCTCTGTTGTACTGAATTGTGGTCATGTGGTTTATATCCTCGGATGAACATCCCTATAACGTGCAGTGGTAATGATTTATTTCCTCCTATTTGAATCATTACAGCTGATGATTTATTTCCTCCTATTTGAATCATTATAGCTGACTATACCATAGTACTGGTTTATTTTCTCTTGCTTCAAGGGGAAGTTTAGTCCCTTGGTTTATGTATAAAAATATTTATTGATATATTGATATGGCAGGAACAAGGTTCCCTCTGAGGCATCAGTTCCCAACCCGTGGTCCGGTGCCGGTCCGTGGGCTTCGCTGGACTTGGCTATGGAGACAGATTTTCGGCCCCCCTGCGTGCATGGTGGGCATAGCTCTTGCACATGCGCAGGTGAGCAGGTATGTTTTTGGGTGGGCCTGGCGCACTCACGCACATACATGCCCCACTCACCTGTGATCATGCCATGCCCATCTGCACGTACCCCTCATGCACATGAGCGTGTCATGCACATCCGTAAATGTGCCACGCCCACCCATGAGCGCAGGAGACCTGCCCTCTGCACACAGACCAGCCCCTCCAACCAGTCCGTGGTTCCAAAAAGGTTGTGGACCACTGCTCTAAGGTATGTCGCTGCATGTGTCTCTGCCCTCCTCCACACTGTTCCTCCTCCCTCATGCACCCAAAGCAATAATTTCCAGCTCCTTTTGTGGGGTGGGCAGACTCGTGCATGGAGGGATGGAGCCAGGCTGAAAATTAGAGGGAACATTGCTAGGGAAGGGGGTTCTATTTAGGAAGGTGTCCTCTGTTGCACTGGCTGCTCCTGCAGAAATACATTTTACACAATGGAGGTGGGATATCCGTGTGGCAGTGGTGATCAACCCCCCGTCCAATCAGAAAACAACAACAATGATCTAACTGGGGGATAACCACATTTCCCTCATGTGACCAGGGCCTGAGTAACTTTATTTAGCCCAAGTCAGCCTGCTTCAACATGGCTGCCTAGTCACAGCCTCACTGAGCTATGCAGCCAGTTTTTCCCTTTCTCTCTAGCAAGTACCGAAAATAGACTATAAATTTATGTTTGATGTAAGTGATGACTTCACAAGCACAGGCATAATTAAGTTAAACTATTTTACTGGCACTTTTTAAAAAACAATGCAATCCCACACTTTCAAAGCGGTAGCCCGCTTCAGTGGGACTTAATCTGAGGTAGGTGTTAATAGAAATTTCAATATGAACTTGTGCACAGGTTCTTTAAATATGACTGGCTTTGATTTTGTTGGTGGTCTTAAGAGAATGATTTGATTCATGCTATTTTCCTTTTTCCATATTTTGACAGCTGTTTGATAAAAATTTTTTTGAACACCTAGTGATCACAAATAAACCTGTTTATTACTTTCAATACTCTTATAGTGTTTAGAAATTTAAAAATGTTGGTGAAAATAGTATTACTTGGAGTATATCTGAAGATTCTCACTCATCCAGATGAGGAGACTCCTATTTATCATGCTGCCCTTTCATCCCTCTTCAGGAAGATCAGGACCACACCCACCAGAAAGACCACTGTTGACGACCAATAACAAACCAAGACAGTGGGTGGAAAAGGACTGCAGAGGTGGGATTTTTCACTCCCCCCCACAATCTAACAAGCCTATTCAAACCAGGGGGAAGTGAAACCAGCTTGGAGGGGATATATCAGGGGTCTCCTACCAACTGTCCTCAGACTGAAGAAATTACTTGGATAAGTAAGGAAACATTTCAACCTAATAAGAAGTCCAGTTGCCATGACTCAACTTCCAGATATTACTTGGTTTTTGTTAGAAAAAATATTTAGCTGAATCAATGAAGTCACTAATAATATACAACAATATACAATAACAGTTCTATTGTATTAAAAGTTTTTTTTACTATGCTTCCTGCATGTACAGTTTACTGCCATGCATCTGTTAATATGTCAGAGCATCCAATGGTTTTTTTTTAACCATTGCTTCTGCAAAATCTTTTCCAGCTAGTCAGATGGGTGTAAGGTTCGGGAGTGGATCATTCCACTTTAGTGTGAATTGTTACAATATGGTTCATTAGTTTTTTTCAAGTTAAAAGAGCACATAGATTATAGTATTTTAAATCATTTTTATTAACAACAACATGGGTTCAGTTTGTCATGAAATTACAGTTAACATTGCATCAGTGGAAATGTCCCATATTTTTCATTGCTGTTATTCAACCAATGTCTCAGCACTTCTATCTCATATTTAACATCCTACATCACTGCCAGTGGCAGAAGATGTATTATCTGTGCAAGTAGACAGAGTTGTATAGTTGGGAATTTTATAAAATTTGTTAAACAACTCAAATAAGTATACCATTTTGGATGCTGGTCTCAATTTGAACAATTCCAACAATGTATTTGGTTAAGGGAATAAAACAAAAATGTAACACTCATTATGTCTTATTTAGCCCTACTGAAATGAATGGGGTTTCCTTTCAATTAGAATTCAAAAATCCCTCAGAATGACAAATTATTTGTTCTGCAGTTGAGTCTAAGGAATTCAATACAATCAGACAGGTATAAATTCTTACATTAATTTGCTTAGGCCCCATTCCTAAACACATTTCTATGCAACAAATTTTTGACCACTGTAATGTACATTTAGGATGGACTAAATGTACAATTTTAAGCACACTTTGGGCCAAATTACAGAAAGTGATATGATACGACTAACAGATTTCTCACTATGTCACTCATTCTATTCAATTACCCTTTCCTGCTGTGGCTTCTTATAAAGAAGAGTCTATATACTATCCTTATTTGTTCACATGTAAAATTTCTCCCTTAAGTGTCTAAGGAAGTGATTAGAAGAGGATAGAGCTCAATATTTGGTTTACTTTTAATCGTTTCCATCAACCACATGTGATTTAAGAGCAACCCATCCTGCCTCTTTTGCAAGCTGTTCTGCTCCTTTCTGGCACAGTGCTAGGGCTGCAATTTATTTGATGTGACTGGGAACATTCCTTACTATCCTCTTTTGCAGTTTATGTGGTTGCTTGATTCACTCACAAATAGAGCTGTGGGCAGCATTCTCTTTGGTGTCAACCCTGTGATATATGCAGTGAGTTGTGACAGTAGAAAGGACACCAGAGAAACTCTTCTCTATTTTCCTCTGCTCATAATTTTTTAAATAAAAATTATCCTAAGTGACACAACATTATTTCAGCTGTTAGGGACTATCCATGCTAGGTTGATGTACGTATTGCTGTAGCACTCTGTCACTTACTAAATTAAACAAAACAAAAAGGAATGAAATCTGTCATGGCGTGCAGAATGACATCCATGGCAAAAAGATGGGCAAGGGAGCTGGGAAGGGAGGTATTAATAATTGAAAGGGGGAGAAATTTGAGTGATCTAAAGTTGTGTATGGGGCCTTCTAATGGGAGAAGAAACATTTCCTACAGTATGTGACTGGAAAGATTGCTCAAATGTGAAATAAAATAGATTGCACTGAATATAAGAGCCTTTTAAACACAACACAGATTGCTCCACATTTCCTCATCTAGTCATGCCTTAAGTCCACTGAATTCAGTAGGGCTAAATACAGCGAAAACCATGCTTCAGTTCCTTTATTCTTTTATATATTCTATTTTTAACTAAATTCTGCTTTGGTCTGTGCTTCATGAAACATTTATCTCTTGTATGTTAGTAGTTCGTGCATTTTATTTTTAGAGTCAATGTGACATATGGATTAGTTTAACTATGTAATAGTTTCCTCAGGAAATAATTCAGCTATTACTTAAATTTTAAACAGGTTTAGCAAAAATTAAGTTCTCAGGTCTGCATACTCTTAACTATGACACACTTCTGTTAAGGTAGTTTAATAAGAATTTGTAGTGATTAAGATTGCAAGCCCCAGTTCAGAGACAGTGCTGTTTATAAAATGTTCAATAATGAGTTCTCTGGACACAGAAAAATAGAAGTATCTGTCAATTTGTTTATTGACAGCTGTCAATGTATGATTTACCTCATATACATATATAAGTTCTGTGGGTGGCCTACATATTTCTAGGTTAGGACACTTTATTTGTATTTAAATAAAAATACATCATGAAGCAGAAGAAAATATATTTTTCCAATGATATATTCAAAAATGTATTTTTCATTCTTTCATCAACCAGGAACATTGACATACGTATCAAAATATAAATATTTGTTTACATTGTAGTCTTCAGACTGTTTTAAAGTGTCAAAATACCATGTATTTTGCTTTTATTTTTTTACAGTAGTGTTATACTTATAGCTTCTGTTATGTTCTAATATGACATCAAATATGCAGTTCCCAATGAGTAACAATAGAAATATTGACACTGTCCCATCCCCACCTGATTTTTGCACATTCATTGTGGTTAGTTCAGTAGTATTCAGCCTGAAAGTAAACTACACATGTAGCTGTCATAATGAGGGGATCAATAAGCTGTAAACTTCTGTAAGCTTATCAATCTCTTCATTATGACAACTGTTTCAGTGTGAAAAAAATTGCCCACATTCTATCTTGTGCATATACAATTAACACCAGAAAATATGGCTGAACTTTCTTTTAAACATTCCAATTAAACCTGCCAAGTATTTATGTTTTTTTAAATGTCATCAATTTGAGAGTAGGAAAAAAATCCTTTTAGAGTAACATTTGTAAAGACCTGAAAATATAAAGGGAGGAAGGATGAATTTTGTAACAAAATTTCTAATTTGTTTCTGATTTTGAAATAGCCATTCACTTTCCCATATATCATTATGTGCATAATTAACACTGTGAGGACTCAAGTGTTTACTTTAATTAAGGCAAAAATAGCAGTTCCTGGTTGGCAAATCATGAAGCCAAGGCAAGTAACTGGCTGTCTTACAGTAGCAATTTATCTCCTCATGGTGGAAATGGTATTCCATTTGGATCGTGTTGTCTCCGCAGACATATAATGATATGTGATGTTTATATTTATAGAAAAGGAAAACAGGTCTCATTATTGGTTGCCTTCTGCCTTCAAGCTTTGTTTTGTTAAGCTTAAATGCAGACTTAGGAGATTTCGCAGAAAGCACAAAAAGGCACTATACAACATTCAGTAAGGACTTTTTTAGGCATTCTGAAAGATTTGTAGGTTTAATGCTTTGGCTGGAAAAAACTTCAGAAATCCAAATAAGTAAATATTAATACTCTTGCTATCAACAAGTTTTGACAAAGGGCTACTCTGACAAGAGGATATGGGGCGGCCAGACAAGTGCCATGCTTTCCCATCTCATTGCCTGGAAGAGAGGCAGCTGTTCCATATCTTCTTTTTACTTTGGTTTGGGGAACTAGAAGAAAAGATAGAATCAGTTGAAGGAAGCCACGTTTAGCCCAAAGTCCACCAGTTACTGCCTCTATTGGAAATCTTGTGAAATATAAGTTTTATTTTGTAGAAGATGTTGCAGCCATTACCTTCCCCAAAAATTGATACAGCAAACTGTGGAAAGCTAAACATGTGGAAAGCTATATGGAAAATAAAAGACAGTCATGGGCTTTAAGATGACTTCTCTTAGAATGTATCACTTGACCTTTCACCCAGCAAAAGCTCAGTCAACATCTGTAGGCTTCATACAAATAATATAGAATAAACACATTCTAGATCATGCATACTTTCATATGATATGACATGACATCCAGAAAACTATTATGTTTTAGAGAATGGTGGAGGCAGAAATTACAACTGATTTAGAATCAACAGTTTAAAGTTTTGTAGCATAGTCTGAAGCATATAACCATGCTTCTAAGACTTCGGTGAGATTTTTCTGTTTAACATCAGTCTCAACAAGACTGGCTCAGAAGCTATCACGTTTTGAGGCACCTTTCAAGTAGAATGCCTTTGGAATTTTTAGAGAATTAAAAACCAGACATCTTGTTCAAGAGTGTACATAGGACATACATTTCTGGCGGGTACCATAAACATCAATATGGATTACTGCTAAGGATTAGGATGGGCAATGCTTAGGCTACCAATTGCAGTGGCAAAGTACAGGTATGAATTTGTAAGTCTTTACTAAATATTGTTGCTTCAGGTTTGGAAAATTTAGGAAGAAAGTATAAGGACAGTGAGTGGGTGGGGAGAATGACTTCAGTTTGCTGGAAGGTTTGAATCACAAATGTACCCTATATGAGGGAAAAGACTATTCTGGTACATGTATTCTAAAAGAGACACTAGTTTTCAGGTTCCTATAGATAAAACAAAATAAATGGGTGGGGGCTATGTCTTCAGCTCTTGCCAGTACAGGTTCTTGGAGGATCTGACAATTGTCTTCAGTACTGTCAGATGAATCCATATTTCCTTAATAGTTACATGCCATCAAGTCAGTTCTGACTTATGGTGACTCTTTTTAGGGTTTTTAGGTGCAGTGTATTCAGAGGTGGTTTACTATTGATAAGTATTTTTTCATTTGGGGGAGGAAAAACTGTCTTCACTTTAAACAAGAGCATCCTAAAATTTAAACTCCATTTTTTCTTCCTTTGGCTACTTTTCTTTCTTATTCTTATTTACACTAATTTTAAAAATAGTTTCCTTTCTTTAACTATTTAAAAAAGAATATATAGTCTGCTTTTATTCTTTTCCCTTGCTCTCCTAAATCTTCAATACCTGCTGTTTTTTTCATCAACCTTTAATTGTGCTCATTCAGACCAGAATATAATTTTGTTGAATGACTACACTGTACAGAGAGAAAATATACTTCATATGCAATCAATAATTTGTTTCTTTTTTGCAGAGACGTCTGCGAAATGATTTAGCTCCATCATGAATTTAGAAAGTTTGAGATAAGAGAACATTTCACATTGAGAGTCTTCCCTGATAACTTCGAACTTTGAACATTTCATAGCAAAAAAAAAAGTTTCATCACAAAGAAAACCTAAAAAAGTGCTGTGCAAAATGTTTTGTTTCAGTCTCATATCTCCAAAGGGATATAAAAATCAACATTCTTCTAAAACAACAGATGAATTTTAGTTTACAACGATTAGCCATTTCTAATCTCATATGTTTTCACTAGCAGCTGCAGATATTTTTGTTGTAGTAAATGTAACTATGGTCTAATTCAGATCATAGATAGTAATTATTTTAACCAGTAGCAAAGTGCTTTTTATATTTTAGTATTTTATTTATGAGAAATGCCATGATCCCCAAATGTTCAGATCTTTTGTTCTTTAATAAACCAGTAGCATTATTTTCATAGATTTCCCATTTATACCTTCTGTACTATATGAAAGTACCAATGAACTGTGGGTATAAATCAGGATTCTGTTGGTCACCTAAACATGCATTTTCATGCAACTAAAAGATAGGAACTCATACAACTGCCTTTCTTTTTGATTAATTTAATTAGAAAAAATTAAAAGGGATTTTCCAAATAGTCCATGCTTGTATATGTGTAATTGAAAATATTACTCAGCATGTGAACAAAATCCACATAATGCTATTTAAGTTTGACATGAGGCAGGCTGAGAGCATCAGTACTGTCTCCTGACTTGCAAATACTTTGAGATGATCTTGACATTCCAGTCCTTAGAGAATCAGTAGAGAGAGTCATTTCCACTAATGGGTGGGAAATGGCTTCAAAAGTCTCATTTTCTCTCTCTGCTTCCAAATCTTCATCAGTTATAAATAATTTTGATTCCCTCCATTTGCTATGTAATTCTTGACTGCCTCTTGAGCTACAGGTGTCACTTCCAGAAATCTGTACATTCAGTTCTTCTGCTGTTGACTGTATAAGGTTTTGTACCGACAATGATTTCCCTATATCCATTTGCGCTATTGGTTTCACTGAGACTAGGGGTTCCCCTTCTGTATCGAGGCTTTTTCTCCAGGAAACATCCTTTGTCACATTGGACTGTGCATTTTGTCCATTATCCTTAGACGCAACAAGGCAAGCGGTGACATCAGAAGTATTTTCCTGTGTGCTCACAGGAATAGTATGTATAGGCTCCAACCTACTGATATGCTTTACTGATGAAAAAGGGGGTATCTGTAACGTCGTAGGTGCTGTTGGCTTGGTTGTCTGATTGATTTGGTTTAGTGCATTATTCGCTGATAAAGGTCCATCGTTTGGCACCTGTGGGGCTTGACTATGCGCAGATGGACTAAAAGCATAGTAAGCTTGAGGGTTAAATTCATTTGGTGTCAGTATTAGCTGCAGGCCACATGGCATGTTGACGCTGGCTGATCTGGTTACACATCCACTAGTCTGGGCAGAATTAGACAAGTCTTTACTATCTATTGAACTTTGATAATCAGAAGTTTGGTCACATTCAAGAGGTGGCATCTGAAATGAAGCCAAGGTCAGTGCAGATACAGATCCTTTCTTCAAGACCTGCTGGTAAATGTCTAGTAGTGAGTCTAATTTTGACTCTATGGATTGGACCTGGAGTTGGAAGAAGAAATAGTCTGTGAATACCACTTATAAGACTGTAAATGATATGTGACATTAACATGGCAACAGAATAAAAATATAACTGCCCTACAAAGCAAAGCAAATTTCTTTACATAACTTTGGTTTAAAAAAGAAAACACAGCATCCAAAATTTACCATGCAGACTGCAGTCTACTTTGAACAGCCCCAGTGAAATTTTACTGAAATAGCTCAGCTGTTTCTGCCGAGCACTTACGTTATGATATGCTGCTCTCCAGACCAATTCTATGACAAACGCAGGCAGTCTCATTGATACGAGTGGAATGACAACAGTGTTAAGAGCAGTGACACAATGGCTGTGCACACATCCCCCAATCTAGGTACCAGTTCAATCCTTTGGATTGGGACTTAATTCAGCCCAGGCTTCCTCCAATCTGATGCCTGCCTGGATCTGGGCACAAAAATAACTATAGCTTTAGGGAGTTACTACACATTGCCACTAAACTAGGAAAAATGGATTAACTGTGCCGTGTTGCAAACAAGCTGTGTTTCAGGTTTGGGGGCACTGTAACTTCAAAGTTTGTCTTCTTCCTTTTAAAATATTCCTTCTAAAAAAAAGCTGTTGCCATTGGCTGCTCAGTTCTGCCAGCTCAGGAATGGGGATGCTTTGTATTAGAGATCAGATAGAGCTCTTTGCATGCAGTAACAGAACACCAAGCACAAGGCCTCAGTTCCAACAAGGAAAATGGCAAACAAAAGAAGGAAAGCTGAAACTGAAAACCCATAAAGAAAAAAAGAAAAAGGCAGACATACTGCTCCACAACTGATTTTTGGTGTTCCTTTTATTTTAACTCTCTGGCCAGTATCATCTAGCATAAATTTTGACTACATCAGGGCGATGATGTCACCAGCAAAAATAGATTGAGTTTCTCCTTTGACATCAGAGACTGAATAACTTGCCCACAACCAGTTTCACTTTGAGCAAATTAGACAAAGCTTGTGACTGAAGCAGAAACTTCAATTACTGGCAAGCTACTGCTGGTGGCTATGTCATCTGACAGAGAGAGTGCTGATAATATTAAAGATAAAATTCCTCCTTTGCTTATGGGACTCACCCAGCTTGCATGCAAGGAGACAGATTGTGATTAGAATGCAGACAAATTGTGTGATCAATGCAATTGAAAGGGGAACTCTTTAATTACCAATAATCCCCCCCCCTGTCAGTGACATCATTGCCCTCATGCACATGTAATTTAAGCTATAGAATTTGGGTCTCTACTGAATTTCCCCCCCCTGGAAGTCAAGATCCCAATTTTCACCAGAACTGCTGGAATTTTATTTTTTATCAGAGGCTTGCTGAGACCACACATATCACTTTGATTTGAGGTATCATTTGTCTAAAGTTGGTTCCCAGACCTAATTTATACCCAGTCTATACCATAATAATTTTGGATGAAATTGTGTTTTTTGGGGAACCAAATAAGTTTTTTTTTCATTTTGCCGCTATTACCCATTTTAAGCTGACTGAGAGTGAAAAGAGAAACATCTCCTTTCAGAGTCACGTTACCTGTTTTTCCACTTTGACTACGCGTCCCAGCATACTAAGGTCATCAGTTGTTTCATTCTCTACAGAATTCTTCTCTCGGCTTTTCTTATCAGAAGTAATTTGGCCCCTTCCAAGAATCTGGTCGACACTGTAGGGCAAATAAATAAACAAATGTCCATATCTAACAAGTAACTGTATTTTATTTTTTATTTCAGATGTACCAAAGATGAATTCTGAGGGGATCTTTGTGTTAGTTGAGACTCATGCTTCAGACAGTGTCCATTTTAATTATTTTAAATAACTGATAATGTATCTTATCTAAAAGTCGGTCTCAGCTTCGGAGATGTCCTGGTTATGCTGAGCACAATGATATCTCCTGTCAGACAGGTGGTTGTGCTGTCAGTTTTATTACAGAGTGTGCTACCCTGTTTTCCCGAAAATAAGCCCTGGTATGATTTTTCAGGATGCTCATAATGTAAGCCCTACCCCCCCAAAAAGTTCCAGTTAAGTGAAACCCTGCCCTCCACTATTGTACAGCAACCAGAAGAAGATGACATGACTGTATTTGAATAAATGTACACGAAAAACATAAAACATCCCTGAAAATAAGCCCTGGTACATTTTTGAAACAAAAAATTAATATAAGACCCTGTCTTATTTTGGGGAAAACACAGTCATTTCTCAATGGGCAAGGAAAGGATTCCCCACCTCTCCCAACAGTGATTAGAATTGCCAAAGCTCAGGGACAATAATTGGCATAGTATATACAAAAGGATCCATAGCATTGAAACAGTGTTATGTATTCTCATATACAGTTTTTCATTTCAGACATGAATAAATGTATAGGGAGGAAGGCAATAGCCTGCAAAACAAGAAGGAAAATAGGTGCAGAAGAAGATTTAAAAGCATTAAAACACCTGGCTGAATTTATTTACTTAATTTAATTATAGGCTTTCAAAATGTTGGTGACGAGAGAGAAATAAAATAAAAGTAAATATATAATATTAAGACAAATGTCAAACATTAAGAACAAGAAAAAGCACACATGTATGAAAAAGAGTTAAAGAAGGCAAGCAAAGAATCCCAGCTAAAGCTAGGAGGCTTCCCAACTACTGAAAGCACTGGTGGTTCGACAGGAGCTCATCTGCTCAACATGTGGTGAACACAGAGCCGCTGAAACTGCCCCTCCCCAGGCAATAACACTACTGCTGGCCAGCCAGTGCTGAGGTAGCTGGGAAGCCTCCCAGCATTAGCCAAACAAAGATGTCACTCTTCCAGTGGCTCCATTTTCCCTACTTGTCGAACAGGCAAAGACACTGTTGCCCCAATCCTGGCTCTGTTAATAGCCAGGAAGCCTCCCAGCACTGGCTAACTGGAAACAGAAGCCCTAATGCAGTTTTTAAGAATACATAGTAGTGCCATTTTGAAACCGAAGTACGGCTTGTGTTGTGGGCAGTGACAGGAGCTGCTGTGGATGCAGTCTGATTTGATGTGGCAATGTAGTTCAGCCTAGGAGCACCCGCTGAATTTTTCTTTTTAAACCAAGGGTTGTTCTTGTGGAAAACTGTTTGTAAAAAGAAAAACTTTTCTTACCGTGACTGAAGACTTTTAATTCTGCACAGCATATCCAGGTGACCTGCTGAATATTGTTCAATGACATCTTTGACATCATAGGGGCGCAGAGTTTCTTTAAACTTCCGTTTGGCAACATGAAATTTCATGATTCTATAGAAGAAATATTTGAATCAATTTACTTCTTAATCAAGGATGATAATGTTTGTTTTTCAGCTGTTGAGGACTGCGCAGGAAATTTAACATACTCAAAAAGCTTTTCAGCCATAATGTCTAGTACTGTATATTGAAATAAATTAATGTAGGAACTGTGGATCTCCATCTTCTACCAGAATGAGCCTTTCACAACTTCCACTCATTGAAGTTAAAGTTGTCAGATTTTAGCAAGTGCGTGAAACAACTTCATTATGATAAAATGAGACAGAAAGAGGGATACCCTCTTCTATTCACTACCATTCATCCTTGTTGAGATGTGAGGTTAACTGATAAAAAAAAGGAGTTAGCTTCTGGGATTGTCCTTTGCGTGGTGTCACTTTGTGAATGGTAATTAGTAGAAGGAGGTATCTTGTAGAGCAGTGGTCCCCAACCTTTTCTGAATTGTGGAACCGGTTGGGGGCGGGGCAACCCTGTGCTTGCGGATGGGCGTGGCACGCTCACATGCATGGATGGGTGTGGTGCACTTGTGGGTGGGCAGGGCACACTCACATCAACCCTGTGCTTGCGGATGGGCGTGGCACACTCGCATGCACAGATGGGTGTGGCACACTTGCATGTGAGTGGGATGAGCATGCACACATGCTCATGTGGGCACGGCACTCATGGGTGGGCGGCCCGGGCGTGCGTGGGGGGAGCATGTGGGGGAGCGTGAGATCTGTCTCCACGGCCTGGTCCTGTGAAGGCCACAAACCTGCGTTAGAAGAAGGCAAATCTGCAGTTATTTTGAGCTTTAGCCCTCCTGACCTCTGTACAAATACTGGCTGCTTGGTCCTATTCTTCCTTGGTAACTTGCGCCTTCCATTTCCAGTATACATCCCGTTTAAATGTTAGCTCATCTGAAAACTACTTATGCAGCCAGTTTTTAGATGCCTGTCATTCTTCTTCCTTATAGGAATTGTGATTCTGCTTTTAGTATCTCGCCTTTAAGAAACTCATATTGTCTGTTTACTGTCTCCTCTGAGTATTTTGACCAGGAATCTCATGCTGTATTTCCTTAAGTTTACTGAGGCCAGCTTTCTTAAGTCCAGAGTGCACAATACATTACTGTCTGCTTTCCTTTTCCTCAGTATGACAAATCCCAAGAGGTTTTAGTCACCTCCATTGGAAGCTCCCACTATTTCCACAATACTGATTTCAGTTACTAGCAAGATGTAACTGTGCTGTAGGCTCTCATGTTAGGTTTGGAGGGTCCTAAAATAAATTATATCCTAGATGAGAAATATCTTTAGTGGTCTGCCACTATCAGTTTTACAGTGCTGAAATATCTGCTTACAGAATTTTTAGTGCATAGTGACAGCATCCTTTAATAAAACTGTGTTCTTCTGACTTTTTTTTCCATTTGAAAAGGACAGATCTAGAAACAAGATCTCCTTGTTGTTTCTTCTACCTTCTGGAAGATGACATTGTCACTAAGGCAAGTGAGGAATTTAGTGGACTTCCAGCAGTTCTCAGGGTACTTGAAATCTGTTATTACTACTACATCACTCCTCTTCGAATGTTTGATAACTGGATCTCTGAGAGCATCATTCAGATTTGACTTTCTAGGATGCCTGTAGCAGACTCTAAAAAATGATAATGCTGTTGCTTCTCTCTCCAGTTTTTTCTCCCCAAAATGCTCTCCACCAGCATTCCTTGCCCAAACTCATGGGTCTCTTCACACTCATACACATCCTTTAAATACAGTGCTATCCCTCCATCCTTTCTGTTTAGGCTATTTCTTTTGAATAAACTATACTGTTCAGTCTGTCATTACTAGAATGGGCCCTTTAAGGAAAAGGCAGGGTAAAAGTATTTAAAATAAATTAAATAAAAATAATGGTGACTCATCCCACTGGTGTCAAGATGTTTTGTTTGTGCAGAATGTTAAAATAATTAAGAGGATGTAGAAAAAGTACCCCTGAAAATGGAAGTCTTTTAAATTGAGACTTGAACAATAGTTTACTATAGCTTTTGGAAAATGCTTACCAGGTTCTCCAGCCAAGCAATGTCACTGTAACATAACAATTTTGACAGTTGAGCATGTTTATGTTAAAATGTGCAATTATGGAGGTAGAGTTTGCAGGTCCCATTCCAGAACCTGGCTGTTATACCATCTTGGCATTACAGAATCCTTCAAATACTTTATGCTACAGAGCCATAGTCCTCCAAGCTCTGCAAACATTTTAATGTTTGAAGTTTGGAGTTACAATATGTGCAACAACAATAGAATTTCCTATTGATTTTTTTTCTTGGTGCTCCTGCAGAAAGAATTGTTTACAATTGATGAAGGAAAGATAAGAGCATAGATAATAGCTCGAAAAGTTGCCTGGGACAAGATGCCAGGCAAACATCATTAGAGGGGAGAAAATTCTGCTCTCTCTGTGAGTGTTAGATTTCCCCCCCTGTATCCTGATGTGATTTTATAATCGCTTATGCTCTAGTTTAGTCTATTAACTACATAGTCTATTAAATATTAAATATTTTAATATTTTAATAGCTGTGACTTAATTGAGAGTTATTTTTGTAACTAAGAATATGCCTTTTTAATAGTTTTTATTTTTAGCATTTTAACACTTTGTATACTTACAGTTCTATTATTTCATTCTTAAGCACCATATTAATTTTTGTTACAGCACTTTATTGCTGTTGTTGCTTATATTTTTAATTTAGTTTATTAAGTTTTCATAGTCATACTCCTAGAAAATTGTATTAAGTTTTTGTAGTTATGTTTCTGGATATTCAAAATCCAACAATAATATATTGTTGGCTGAATAATATATCTATGGTAGAAAACAGTATAATACTGTACTATATATTTGGATGTGCGTGTTCAATAAAAAGAAAAGTAGGAATTTTCTTGGCCATTCAGTTTGTCTATTTTGCACAGGGCAAAAAAGTTAAAGGATATTCCAAAAAAGGAACAGCTGTATAAGGTGCGAAATATTCCACTGGATCATACAGGAAATTAGCCTTTTGGGGGATAAAGGCCAGCTGTGATGAACATAGGCTTCAGATTTTCCCCTGGAGGTCTGTAAAGTTCTGTAGGATTCTTAGGGAGAGGTTCAGGCATCAGATTTCCCTGACTCGACACCAGGTTCCTGGTGCCTATTATACCATGTATGCCTTTCTGTGTCAAAAGTTCAGGCTCCTTTATCTCCTAGGCTTTTTGAATTCAGCTTAAGTTTCAGTTTATTATTATTACAATCCATAACCCGAGACATTGAACATAATATAGACTGACTTTATAAAACAGTCACAACACTAATACAAAGGGGAAAAGAGATAAAGGAAAGATATAACGTAAAATCATTATCCAATAAATCTTTACATATCTTGCATGCAGTGGCAAGATTTTTTTCCCCCTGAGGATTGAAGCCTAAAAGTAGTTTATGTAAGATCTTTGTTTCAGGACAGCCTGAGAACTGGTTAAGCAGAGGGAGAGTAAGCTTGACACATGATTCATGATAGAACTGGCAGTGTAACATAACGTGTGATTGATTCTTGTGCTTTTCAAATTAGTATAGAAATATTTGAAACTATGGGTCATTCCCTCCAGCTGCTTCCTTACTGCCTGTTCCCCTCCATTGATGGGTTTCAGTCCCACCAGTCCAGATTCTGGTGTACTACCAACACTCTTGTACCTCTGTCCCTTGGAATTCATTTCCCTCCAATGCAGTATTTGGTTTACAGTCTTCCTGATCAGGTTTGCAAAAATCCTAGCAAACACATTTTCTCCACCCTCTATAAGGTGCAACTCACTATCTGCCAGGAGTCCTATATGTGGTCCAAGAAGCCAATATTCTCCTGATGACAGCATGTACCAATTGTTCTTTTCCAGTATTCTTGTCTGTGTTCCTGATCATGGTCTTCAACAGGAAGGAGTGATGAAAAAATTGTTGGAGTCCTGGTTGCAGGCTGTGCCTGACAGCCTAATCTATTCCCATGTGAATCAGAAAGAAGGGATGATGGCCAGTAGGCTTGATAGTTCTCATTTATTTAAAATACTTTACACTGCCTTTCTCCTCAAAAAGGATCCAAGGTGGTACAGACAATATTTAAAAACTAAAAGCAGTAGGTATACAATTATTAAAAAGAATCAGATACCACACTAAATCAACATCAAAAAGAGATTCTTGGCCAGTCTTCTGTCATGGATCTTTGCAACAAGGAAATTGGAGACATTCTGTTAAGCTTCAAACTGCTATCTCTGTCCTTCACATGGACTCATCTACCACCACACATCTTGTCCTCTGGTGTCAAAAAAGCTTCCATCTAAGATCCCTCTACAGCAGTGGTGAAGGCCTCTGGGAATTGCAGTCCAAGAACACCTGGGTTACCTAAGGTTGGTAACCACTGTTCTACAACCACTTTGTGCTCTCTCCTGTCCCTCTTCCAGCAGGCCTGAATCATTGTTCATTGAGAGGATCTGCTGGCCTTGTTGTACCAACTTAGAATCACTTTCCAAAGATTCTGTAGCTTGAAGAACGTAGCATGCTTCCTGACAGTCCTGCCTCTCTGTCTTGTGCCTCAAATGCCATGCCTTTCGGATTTAAATTATGTTTCATCCCGAGGCATTCTCTTTTGCTCTTCAGGAGAGTCTGTTCAGCTCTATCTGGGAAATGCTTTAGTTTCCCTGATGAGCCAAATAAAGGATAGACAAGCCAAAAGATGTTGTCCCTTGTACTAACAGGGAAACTACCTTCTACATGCTACAGTTGTAGTTTTTCCATCTTTGGGCAGGAAAACAAATATGCCATAGGCTTTGCTGTTTACTGCAAAAGTTCTTTCAGCATATGTATGCTCTATGCACGTGGTGACACAACATTCCAGCCTCTCTTTCAAACTTCCCCACTATACACTCATATACAGTGGTGCCTCGCTAGACAGTTACCCCACATGACAGTTTTTTTCACTAGACATTGACTTTTTGCGATCGCTATAGTGATTCGCAAAACAGTGATTCCTATGGGGGAATTTTGCTGGACAATGTTTGCTCCCTGCCTCACAAACCGATTTTTGCTAGACGCCAATTTTGACAGCTCCCTCCACGCTCGCAAAACAGGTGTTTTCGGGACCTAAGCTTCACAAGACAGCAATTTAAAGAGCTGATTGGCAGTTCACAAAGTGGCTTTCCTATGGCCGATCTTCGCTAGACAACGACAATTCTTCCCCATTGGAACGCATTAAACAGGTTTCAATTTATTCCAATGGGGTAATGCTTTTTGCTAGACAATGATTTCTCTAAACAGTGCTTTCAGTGGAACGGATTATCATCGTCTAGCGAGGCACCACTGTAAAATGCTCCTTTTTAACCCACATTATTCACAAGGCTACTTCACAAGCTTGCAGAGTATTTTTAACCCACATTATTCACAAGGCTACTGTTTACAAGCCTGCAGAGTGCAGCTGTAGAACTGGTATCTGCTAGCTTCTTCCAACCAAGTCAGTTCCTCTCAGCATTCATGTTCCTCAACTGTAACCCCTCTCTCTAGCACCCTCTGCATGGAGCAGAGACCATGGTTGCAACAAAACAACGAGCCACCAACACACAAATCTCCATACAGCTCAGACTATCAGCCTTGAGCCAACAGACACAGCTTCACCTCTCATCTCTTCCAGAAGTCCCATGCAAAGTGCCCCATTCATTTTCCCTGTTCAAAGGCTCCTGCTCGTAAGCTGGAAGGGAAAGTAGCTATAGACCCAGCAACTGTCTTATTTTAGTCTATGATATATGGCTTGCCTTTCTCTCCACAGAACCTTTGGCAGCTGGTACAAGGCAGATACCACACTGTGCTGCTCAGTATGAGCAAAAGACACCTCCTTAACTATGAGTAATTCCTAAATTTCTTTATTTATATATGTGCTAGTATAGAGATGTACAAGCAGCTGCTTCATTGATAATCCAGTAGGCCAGGCGGGAAGAAGTGACTTAAAATTCACTCTTCACCTCTACCACCAGATGATATTATCAGGAGAGCAGCTGGGCCCAGACTCAAAGTCTAACTTAGGAGAGCAGCTGGGCCCAGACTCAAAGTATAACTTATAAAGTATTGAGAGAATGTTTCTTCTAGGCAAAAAAACATTTACCTAATAAGTGTCATGTGTTTCCTCTTGCTAAATGACGTTAACTTACCTGATAGCTCGGATAACCGTTTTAAGAGGTGGTGTAAGATCTTCCACTGATACATCACACTGGCATCCTCTCTCATCATATATATCATCAGTACCAAGACTGACATCAGCTGCAAAAAAAAATTCACCTGAATGACATATTTACATAGGAGAAAAGTCTATTGTAAGATTAACAATTTTTACTGATTGACACAATACAATATGAATTAAAGAGTACAGTATGTTTTAATGGTCCAATAGAACATGAAAAGGTTTCAGTGCTCATGGCTGTTGCAAACAGCAGCACTTCTCCTGTCCAATTTAGGCATTTAAGTTGAGAGGGTTTTTTTTTTCCTTTGGTTTTTGTATTTTAAGGAAAGAAGAGGGCACTACACAGCATTTAGATGAAACAGTTTGTTGTTTTGTTTAATGTTCTTAGTAAGATGCTAGATTATTTAAGGCACTCCATTCTCAGAGCCAAATAATATATTTGGTGGCAGACCAAATTAATATACAGTAGGCGCTGCTGCCAAACAAGTACAGCAGAGTAGAGTAGTGGTCTGAAGCAGCATACAGGCATATGTTTTGGATTCAGCAGACTCAAGCTGTGCGGGCACGTAGCGCTGCACTGGGTGCAAACAGCTGACCCAGTATTTTTGCCCATTTGCTTCCGGTCGTGGCTAGAACTCTCTGTGCACAGGGCAGAACCTCCATGCAGCAGTCTGGAAAATTAGAGGGAACGTTGCAACGGAGTATAGAATCAAATATTCTACAACAATTTTAAACATGTTTATATTGACTTAGATGAATGTAGACAACACAGCTGAACTACTGAACAGCAAGGAACCACCCATGTATTGCAAATAAATGCATGTCATGAAATCCCCAGGTTTTTTTTTAAAGAAAAGGATGCAATTCTGTTTTTGTTTTTTCATAAAATCATCATATCCTGCTCTTCTATCTGTTTTAACATCTCTATTCCTAATCATAGCTTCAGAAATTGCTCTTTTGTTGTAGAAAAATGTTGGAGCTTTACTATGTGTTTGTACATAGTGGCCAAAATCCTGCATGCTTATAGGAATGTTGTAACTTTTGAAGGCAAACTGCCCGTAGTTAAGAAACCACGGCAGACGTTATCACTTTCACACTGAGTCACACAGCTTAGCATGCAACATAAAATGTCTACAGTGACTTCTTAAGGCAGTTCACCTCCACCAGTTAGGCTGTTTGTGTTACACCAGCATTAATTGGGCAGGGGATTTGGGCCAAAGTGTTTGCATCCAAACAACTCAACCAATGACAGCACTGACTAACACTTATGCATACCTTCCTAACGCTGCAGTGTCACAGGAGTCTTTAGTGTACAGAACACAAAAGGTTAAGCATTTGGGTTGGTTAAACAATCAGAACTGTGCCACCAATGTGGGGCTTAGCTGAAGATTTCAGCAGGGGAGCTGAAGCTCGTTTCAAGATCTGGGCTAAAGCAAGAACTTTAGTTAGTGTGTAGCAGTGATGTTAAATTTAAGTTGGTGGAAAGGGAGATGGGGGACAAGAACGTGTGTAATAGTCCAGCCTACTCTTTCTAGCTGGCCAAACAAAAGCATTAGTCTGAACTGGCCCCAATTATTGCACATCTTTTTCCTTTAAGGGCCTTACAAAGAGCTTGAGAATTACCTTGAAACCTAGAACATTCTAGGGACTTCTGCAATTAACTACAATTGAATAAATAGTAGATAAGGGTAAGAGTTGGATGCAATTTGATAGGAAACTCTGGTAAAACTAGTGTCATATGCAGGTATTTATGCCACTAAGTACTGTGCTCCCGTCACTTGTCCCAGCTCCCGCCAACCTAGCGGTTCGAAAGCATGCAAATGTGAGTAGATAAATAGGGACCACTTCGGTGGGAAGGTAACAGCGTTCCGTGTCTAAGTCGCACTGGCCATGTGACCACGGAAGATTGTCTTCGGACAAACGCTGGCTCTATGGCTTGGAAACGGGGATGAGCACTGCCCCCTAGAGTCGAACACGACTGGACAAAAAAAATTGTCAAGGGGAACCTTTACCTTTACCTTTATCTGTAAGAGTTGGATGCAATTTGCTGGAAAACTCTGGTAAAACTAGTGTCATATGCACGTATTTATCCCACTAAGTACTGTAATTCCTCGTTAGTTTAATCTCTCTACTACTATTGTTGCAATACTTAATACGTATTGTCAGTGATGTTGCTGTGGAAGAAATCTATAAACTTTGATTTATATGGGAAACCTGCATGTTTCTTTCCAAAGCTAAAATACATTTTGTAAGAATTAAGAAATATTTAAAAGCAGAATTCAGCAATTTTCTCATCTGAAATGCATTTGGTGCTCCAATGATGTTTTTAGCGTAGTTTTATATATTACACATGCATTTTTGCAATAATTTTTCCTTTATACATTTTTGGTCATACCAATAGAAATAAAACATAAAAGCCACACCTGTTTATAGGCTGATACGTGAAATCAAATGTACTATGTTAACTGGGCTCATAACAATCACCTCCCTGTGACTGGTTTCAAGCCTTAACAGCTTTTTTTAAAGAAACTGTCCCCAGGACTTCTGGTTTGTTAAAAACAAACAAACAAACAAACCCAAAGGCTTTTTAAGAATTAACACAAACTGTGGAGGAGACAGGGATAATGTTTAACAGGAACATCATGCCCTTGGTAGCCTCTTTGATGCAATGTGGATTTTTTGTGTGGAGTGTGTGTGTGGGAACTGGTGGGTACTGGGGTTCAAAGTATGCATGGGGAGATGCACGCGGAATCCTGAGGGGCACCACCTGTAGCACTTTGTCAACTGCTCTGTTTCCTTGCCTTTGCTCAATAACAATATTGACATGCTCTTGAACTTGGAGGTAGCTTTCTGATATATCCTATGTGCCATGAAACAATTGGGTTATCACTAAAAGCAAAGGTCACCTCTTCCTTCTCGGCAACCCAATGTGTTTTCTGTTCATAAACAGAAAGGTGCAGAGTTTAGAGCCTGTCCTAGCTTATCAGACATAATTTTACTGAGCTGTAAGACACAGCCCTAATAATTTGCTATATGTGTAAAAGTACATACTCATATCTAGAAAAGTAGCAGTGGGATAAGCATTGCTCCAAGAAAAAAATATTTGTATTTTAGCACAACATTTCCCAAATGTCATGTCTTTCCCAATGACCAATGTCTCCTTCCTTAACGGAGGGTTGTTAGCACAACATTTCCCAAATGTCATGTCTCTTCACAATGACCAATGTCTCCTTCCTTAAGACTGGATGATAACTACAATGAATAAGAAACATGTTAAAGATCTTACTATCTGGCACTGGCTTAGGCTGTGAACTCTTCAAACGTAGGGAAGGCCGGAAGCGTGTTCGGTCATTGAAGCTCCAACTCTTTTGCACTTTTGTTGGGCTGCCCTCTGCAGTGATATCAGTACTTGGTGACCTCCTGTCACCAACTGACGTTTGCCTGTTCTTGATACTCTGTCCTCTTGGGCTAGCCATCCGTACCCGCTCTTTAAAGCTCAGTTTCTGACTGTGAAAGCAGAAAATGCGTCTCACTATAATTACTGAATCATTTTGCACAGACATGTATATATGCCCCAGTCCATGGATCTGCGTGCATTCAAATGTATGAATCTACAATACTGTATGTGCGAATGGGATCTCCTGTTCATTTTACACAAATGGTTGTATCCCTCACCTCTTTCCAGTGAAGTGAATGGAAAATGTTTTCAGGGAGGAGGAATTTCATGCCAGCACTAGAATCCCCACACCTGGAACAGAACACTAATTTCGAGCAATAAAACTAAACCCATGGATCTCCATGCGCACACTCAGAATTGTACAGGAGTACCAGAAGGTGGGAAACTATATGGCTCTTCTCCCTTTGGTAGTGGTTCCCAATTAAGTTCTGGTGGGGGTCATCCTTGATACTAAATTTTGGCCTTTAGGCAACCTTATATGCATAAGGGATAATGTGTGTATCTGCTGTTCCTGCTGACTATCATTTCCTTTCTTGTTAACTATGGAATTGTTTCAGTGATTTTCACTGTCTTTTTGCATACTATGTTATACAAATTAATCAATACTAAATGTAAAATCTTATCAAGCCTAGTCTTAACAAACTTTAGGTAGCTGTATTTTCATGCTGCATAGCATAGGTCAGTGCATTTCTAACAATCGTCATAAGAAGAATATTTTTCAAATGCTGTTATTTTTGCATGCTGTTTGTTAAGAGTTAGGCAGGCAAGATTAATATTGTTATTCATGCATATTTTTGAAACATGGCATTTTTTCAATACTCCACAAACAGTATCAACAAACATTACGTCCAAATTCATCTTTCCTTAGAACACTCACATGAACAAAACATACATATAAACATATCTAAACAAATCTTAATCAATTTACAGAATACTCAATAAGTATTATTTTAATGAGATAAGTAGTTATCAGGTATGTGACAGTGTATGTGTGTGTGTGTGTGTTATGTGCCATCAAGTCAGTTTCAGCTGATGGCAACCTTAGTAGAGCTTCCAAAGTATATGAGATATAAAGAGTGGTTTTACTAGTGCCACGTCCTCCCGCGAATTTCCATGTCTGACCACGGAGTCAGGAGACCCACAATCTATTCACTACACTACACTGGCTCTCTTGACATTGACACATGACACTGTATTGGGTGACTTTGTTGCTATTAATTAGTGGCAAAGCTCAACACTGGGTTGGGGTTGGAAAACCTGACAATATTTCTAGGTGATCAAGGGTGCCACATAGAATGAGACTTCAAATCTATATAAAAATATTAAAGAGTCAAGCTTCTTACTGTATTTGTAGATAATAATTGTATCTTGTTCACTTTCACATAAAAGTGCAATTGTAAATTTCAGAATATTTAATAAATATTGTGCATCTTTCAGGTTCTCTGTCATTTGCAATTACTTCATGAATAAAAGTTTATGTATTCATTTAGCTGGTAAGAGTGTTTGCAATCATAAGCTTATTTATTTAGAGGTATATCACTATATTAAATTGGACTTTCTATATGTTCAGGTCATTAGTCTATCAGTGATGAATGCATGGAGATTTTCTGATTAAGGAGATATGGAACTGCATTGGGATTTACATAACAAATGCTGTCACTGCACTGGAAAAGATTTTCTTAAATAGGCAATAGCTGGAATAAACCAAAACAGTGATTCATATTGTACGTATGTGGAATAATGTCTAAAACCTAACCCAATTGTTGGGTTCCTAGAATGAGGACACAGTGTTTCTGTCAATGCAGATCCTTTGTGGACATTAAGATACCTGTAGCAAAATTTACCGGTATCTGCGTATCACTACAGCCGCTAATCAAGTTAAGGTCTTGTCTGTTCTGTTTATGTCATATCCTTGTGCAGTGTGACAATAAAACACATCACAAAATAGAAATATCTCCTACAGCTACCAAGACACTGAAGAAATTATCTATGCTTAGATGTCTAACCAGATACTGTATATTCAAAAAAGGAAATATTTCTCTATATGTTTATATAAAACAGAAACTACAGTTATGAAATTTCTAGAGAGTAACACAAAAACATGCAGCTTCATTCGTCTTATTTCACATACAAGCATAGCTCAGGCAGTATGTAGAATATCAAATGCAGCAGATCAGGCACATGCTGGGCAATCCCTACGGTCAAAAAATCATAGTAAAACTATTAGAAACATTGCCCAAAATCTTGTTGCACAGCTCCATCTGCACAATGGGAATAATATCAGTGGCAGATTGCCTCTAATTAAAGACTACTACTTTTTTTAACCACAGGGTGAATGCAGCTCATATGCAATTAGATGAAGTTGAAAGCACTTTGTGCACTTTGTGAAAGCACAAAGTGAATAGACACATTTTTTAATTAGCTGCAATCTGATTCTAATGATAATGTTATTCCTATTGTGCAGAATCCACTCAACTGGACTTCAGCCCTGTGTGGAAGCGGCTTTTTGTTGTGGAAGCAGAAGAGGAACTGCTTCCAAAATTACCTTAATTTAATTTCCTTTCTTAGTCACCACAACAAATATCTGATAGATAGACCTTGAAATTTTCTTTCTTGCCTTTTAAATATTTTTATCAGTCACAGCATACTTCATTTAGTATACTTCTTTCACCCATCAGCATTAATTATTTTAAGACAAGTTTGGGGTGGAGAAACAGTGGTATTTCACTGCCATTGTTTAGACAGCTAATGATGAAGTGATTTCAAAAGAAAATAAGGAGCTCCTATTAATTTCAACCACACCGTCACTATGTCTGTGTGAATTAAAAAATTACAGGTCTGTAGTCACACAATCACATAACTCTGAGTGTTGTATTTCACTGCACGTCTTGTCACAATATTGCTCAATAAAAGTTAGCATCATGGAATTCTCAGAAGAAGGGACAGCGCTAAATACAACATTCATGTATAAGGCTTCAGCTGATGGGCTTAGTAATCTTTATATTCTTGAATAGTAAAGCCACCATATTACAGAGTACTATTCCCATAATATGACATACAATTACAAATTGTTGACCTGATATCATGGCTTTTTACTCAAAAGTAAAAACACCAACAAAGAATGTGCAACACTGCTTTCCATATTAATTCAAATTCATTCACAACAAATAAGCCGTTTATTAAAGCATGGTGCTATTCCCCAGTACTAACTTAGAAGAACTAGCTTTTATTATCATGATACATCCAGACTACAAGAATTGGTGCATTATAGTCTTGCTAAATACATATTCAAATGAAATAGTAAATATTACTCTAGTTTTATTTTAATTAGAGAAGGAGAACTGGATTCGGGATGACGATAGCTGTCTACAAGTCAAAAGTAGCATCATATGAGCCAGATTCATAATTACCGTGTTTCCCCGAAAATAAGACAGGGTCTTATCTTAATTTTTGCTCCAAAAATGCATTAGGGCTTATTTTCAGGGGATGTTTTAATTTTTTTTATGTATAACAATCTACATTTATTCAAAAACAGTCATGTCATTTTCTTCTGGTTGCTGCACAAGGGTGGAGGGCAAGGTTTTGCTTAACAGGCTTATTTTTGGGGGGGTAGGGCTTATATTACTGTATGAACATTGTGAAAAAATCATACTAGGGTTTATTTTCAGGTTAGGTCTTATTTTCGGGGAAACGGTACCTATAATCACTGGGATTTTTGGAACACCTTCTGATAGAGAAGCTGGAGGGAACTGTGGACAAAAGAAGTGCTTTCATACATTTATCTTGTTCATTTCTCTCTCTGCTCCTCTTATTCTCAGCCTTCTGGGACGGTTACAAAAGCTGCTGCTTCCCTGTTGCTCTACACACAGTCCCTTTCTACACTCTGCTTATTTCCAAAGGAGCAGTTCACAACTGTCAAGGCTAAGTCAAACAGAAATGATTACATTCCAATCTCTAGTTCCCTCCTCCTCCTTAAATAAAAGCCAAGGGAATGAGGGGGGTGGATCAGGACCAAGATGCATTAGCACTCCCAAGTTCCCAAAAAACAAACAAAAACCCCACAAGCGAAAAACACCTCCACGCACCAGGGTCTTGATCAAAACCCTTCATAGTTCTATCTGTGTTTATGTTTTTTTTTTTAAAAAAATGCACATTAAATGCAATCACATATTAACTGTATCATCTAGCTTAGACATCAGAATATGGCTTACATATACACATATATGGTTCTCCTTGATTCACTTGGGAAATCACAAGCCATCCAGGAAGCACCAGAATTCAACTCGTGAATAACCTTAGTGATGCCACTGTTTGCCACTGGGCTGTTCTGTTCCTAGTATAAAGAGCCAGGATTGGCAACCTGGCCATTATAATATTCTCCATCCCCATTTTCTTCACGGAGAACATGGATAACAAGGCGACTCTTACTGAAGAGTAGCTTTCCCTTGCTCCCAATCCTTCTAAAGAGGCCAAGAGATGTTGCTCATTGGACTTCTTAGATTTAAGTCATTCCCAGTGCAGCCCTTGTCATCACCATATCAAGGGAGCGAGTGGCTACAAAACAAGCCAATGGCCCTTTAAGAACAAATGCAGGTTCAGATGGGTCAAAGACAACGATGGGACTAGACTAGACAGACTTTGTAGGATCCCAGATGGTTTTTGTACCTTATTGAAGCCACAATTCCTCCTCCTGTTATGGTCAAAGCCCTGACACACACTGCCATGTCTATACCTGAGTCTGCTGTGGCCTGATTCTACCCTGAGAGTGACTTTGCACTGCCTTGCCACTATCTGTCACTGTTGTAGTTCGCTTCTCCTGTGAGCTTAGCCAAAACATTGCTTGCACATTAATGTGCTACCTCTGTATCACAATCTATTTCAATAGAGAGCCTCTTGCAGATGCCCCCACATATGAAATCAGGTGTGGGCTACCAGAATGAGATTCTTCTTGGATATTAGATGTGGACCACTCACTCTAGGAGATTCATCTACTGTCTACCTTATCATCCTACCAGTTGCAAGCACATCCCTAAATGTCTTGTAAAACAAA